CAGCGGCGATCCCACCCGCGAAGACAGCCGAAGCAACACCCGTCCATGCCATCTATTTCCGTGCACAATCCATGGTTTTCGAGTTCAGCGTTTCATGTACACTAGAAAGAATCGGGCCCTGTCTACAAACGATTAATTAAAGTGCAAACAGTTTCCACCATTTGCATTCCAACGTCTAGGCCAAGGCGCACTTTTGTAGTACTAGTAGTAGTAGTAGTGGTAGTAGTAGTAGTAGCAGTAGTAGCATTAGTAGTAGTGGTAGTAGTAGTAGTAGTAGTAGTAGTAGTAGTAGTAGTAGCAGCAGTAGTAGTAGTAGTAGTAGTAGTAGTAGTAGTAGTAGTAGTAGTAGTAGTAGTAGTAGTAGTAGTAGTAGTAGTAGTAGTAGTAGTAGTAGTAGTAGTAGTAGTAGTAGTAGTAGTGAAAATGACCAGAAGCAATCTAGTCGATAAGAGGGAGACAGGATCGCTGGAACAAGAGCTTGATTCGCCCGAGGTTTCGGATTGTCGCTCGAACCCATCTTTCAGAGATTGCTGTCTGATAAGAAGTAGAAGCAATCGCTGGTGACTTGACCTGGTAACAACAGGCGCTTCGTCTGGAGAAATGGAGATTTACAGCAGCACACAGACAACAGTGGGGGGAAGGGACGAAAACGCGATAACCTATGGACCAGAGTTGAAACCGTCATTTGAACTTAGTTGCCAATATCTGAAGGGTTCGCCTGTCGGTTGGTCGGCCTTGCTGGTAAAAAGCATGTAAAACTGACAGGCAATGGAATCAAAGTTTCCCTAATTTTTGTAAGTTACGAGCACTGAAAAATGGCAACCTGGAGATCTCAGATTAACTGCTCGAGCTGGACAGAATTTTCTGTTCGACAATTATATATAAATAGAATTCCCAGGCGCACCAGGTGCTTGACCCAACCTGACAGGAAGTTCTACTCAGAAGGACAACAGGGGAGTCACACAACCAGAAAACGCTTGCTGCGACATAAAGATCGAACCGCGGACCACTGGAATTCGCGCCGAGCTGACTGGATGTGACGGAAAGCCTCCGTCTAACGTGCCACACTTACAGTGAGTGACCGATCTCATGAAATGTTGACTGAAATGCTGAAATGCGTTTTCGATTAGGAAGGATTACTTTGGCGTGGTTGTGATACTGATTATCTTAAGGCATACTCTTATAACATTTCGGACTCGGCAGGATGTCGGTTTTTAAATGCACCTCTTTTTAATCTCCTATAAACATCGTGATTGGTAAAAAATGACTACTTAAGTAGCATGCATTTTTCCCATCGATTTTCGATTGTCTCGCAAATTCAAATATATTTTATAGAAACCATAAACAAAAATTGCTTTCTTTTAGTCAATCAATAGAGAATCACGTCTTCTTTATATTTTATACTTAAGAAAGGAGTATAAATAGGTTTTTTAAAAGTTTTCTAATTACCGAATAACTTGGAATCTGATCATTCGTTGCATTAGCGCTTACTGATTTCACTCTACAAGGTGCATGCGTTCCGCGTAAAGAAAATCACATATTTTTATGCCATTAAAGAGATATCATGCAGAATCCATAAAATTTTGCAATGGATGCGGACTATGTTGTACATTTCATGAGGAGCAGTGGTAAACGGTCAGGTACGATGCTATGTAAGCGGACATTTTGCGGTCTTAAAAAGTGTCATGATTAGAAACTTTTTTAAAACCTAATTATACTCCTTCCTTAACTATAAAATATAAAGAAGACGTGATTCTCTATTGAGTGACTAAAAGAAAGCAATTTTTGTTTATGGTTTCTATAAAATATATTTGAATTTCCAAGACCATCGAAAATCAATGGGAAAATGCATGCTACTTAAGTAGTCATTTTTTTTACCAATCACGATGTTTATAGGAGATTGAAAAGAAGTGAATTTAAAAGCCGACATCCTGCCGAGTCCGAAATGTTATAAGAGTATGCCTGAATATAATCAGTATTATAACCGCGACCAAGTAATCCTTCCTAATCGAAAACGCATTTCAGCATTTCAGCCAACATTTCATGAGATCGGTCACTCACTGTACACACTCAGGACACACATGCGTAAACAATGAACAATAAAGACACTATAGGTGAGAATTACAACAGTGAGACTCACCTGTTGTGTCAGGACACCCAAATTCACAGAGGAGCGGATGGGAGCGGAGGGGTCGTTGGTAAGATTAAAAGCGGTTGTTGCAAGGTCCTCAAGGGAAAAGTGCTTGCAGATGAGTCCCACCGTGTAGAGAGCACGAAGAATTGAGGGCCGTAAGTGCGGTGGCAGAACAACAGAGAAACCACCAGAAGACGCAGAAGTTGTCACTGCAGAAGAAGCCCCGGTCACTTTGGAGCATGTCGTTGAAGACGAATCCGATCGCATCGCCTTGGCTGCTCGGTTCAGGGAACGCCGACGTTCGTTGATCAGCAGCTCTAAAGGACCGATAAGAACCATGCTAGACCAAATTCTAGGCGCGGAAGACACAGGTGAGGTCTTAGATCCTAAGGCAAGGGCACTTCGCGCCCGAACAGAACATATTGTGAGCTGAGGGAGAGGAGTCATTTCTGAAGGGAACTGTCGCGATGGAAACAGGGTTACTGAATAGTTGACTGTATAGTTAACATCCGTGTAGACTCGAATTCGGTGGCAGACAGCATACTGGCATCGTGTCGAAAGTTGCCAATAACCATCTGGCATATTTGGCGACGGCGACGTACTCACTCCGTTCTTCAATGGGGTCCTGACCACGGCTCTTGAAAGCTGTGGACTGATGAAGAATGGCCAAGGGTCGAGCGAAATGCAGCGACGAGGCAGTTTCTGACTTACGCGAGCTCGTCAGTCGGCCATGCACCAATTGCAGGTCAGGAAGACCAGAGGTATGAACTCGAATCAGTTGCTCTGGGGTGAAACGAGATCTGACAATTGGCTTACATAGGTAGGCGTCAGGCTGTGTTGACTGCCATCGGATGCATTCACATCTTGTAAAAAGTGGCGCTCGCAGATGTGATCCGGCTGTTTTCGATAATAATGATAGCATCAGGTCTGGGATGAGTGTAAGCTGATTTGCGGAACAATCGGAGCTGGCGATTCAGGAGAAAACTACGCGTCAACAACTCAAAATCGTTGAAATAGTAGGGATAAATACCAATGTCGGTTTAAACTGGGAACGTTCACAGGCTGAGTCATGCCCGAGGTGCTTGACGCGGTAAAAGTCGCTCGAGTGACAACAAACCCAGAGGTGTAGTAGGTAGACAGAGAAACTGGATGATTGTCTCTGGGTTACGTGAAATCCTGGGCTGGTCATACTTAAACCTCAGATCACCGAGCCCCGAAATGGAATTCAGATCAAGCCTTTTGAGGCTACAGGCAGTCTAATAGTCAAAACATTTAGCTACGGATCAAGCTGAGCTGGTGGAGGCAGAAACTACACACAGTCCTCTGGAAATGATGTACGCCAGAGCTCATTAAAAAAAAATAGGAACGCTTACAGGATTTGTGCAGTTTCCACTCCCCAGCCCGCGTTATGGCGTTGCCTCGGGGAAAACCGTTCACAGAGTAAATAAAAACCGAGCGCTTTTAACTCACCGGTCAATCATACAGCCTCTCCACACCCCCCCCCCCGGGTTCCACCCTGACTGGTTTAAGCAGGTCCTCGAGGAGAAAAGAAGTCAACTACGCACAACAATTCACAGTCGCTAAAAACAACCCATCTCGAGCGCTAACGCTTTGAATTCCCCACCCTCAGCAACAATACGGGCGCACTGGCGAATTCGAAAAGTGCATATGTGACTGAGAATAATACACATATATCTGCACCGTAGGGGTGGGAGGAGGGGGGTCACATCGCTCCGGTTGGCATCTCAGAGCCTTAGGTCGCACGCGTTGATCGGAGGTGCATATGCCTGAAACAGCTACTGCCTTCCTCTCCGCAGTTCTTCTCGGCGTACCTCTGTCGGCACTACATAAACAGGACGATTGGCGTCGACTTGTTGGAAAAGTAACGAGATATTGCGTAATCGTAGTCGAATACGGAGTAGCTGATGGAAAGAAACAAAGCTCTGTTGAGTTAATACCGTCTAGGGATAGTGGAATTGCCAGTTCTGGTCAAAAAAAGCCAACTCCCACGAAAAGGAGCATGTACCATCGTGCATTCTAATGAGAAAAAGATGTCACTTCAATGCGATTCAAGGTATCTAACACTAGCACCCCTTTCTATCATTTCCAGACACATCGGAACTCATTCGGAGGGTCCAGTCTAAATGTAGAGTTAAAGTAAGTAATAGGAGACGAGGGGAAAACTACTGGTATCGACAAACGACTTCTCAATAAAACAACAGAGACGATGTGGGGATAGGGGAATAGCCTTGTCCTTCGGTTGAATAAGCGTGTGTTCATTATCGATAAAACATCTAAAACCGAATGATGGATACATTCATTCAAGACATGTGCAAACAGAGTACATTTCGGGGAGTGGTTTGCACCGAAGGAAATTACTTCAACACTTATTGTCCTCCATAGCGGAGGCGGCCAATTATGGCATCCGTAGACATACTTGCCATCTGAGCTGTCAATTCTAAGCGGAGTTCAATTCAAGCAACTTGTACTGCCCAAAAGGCGTGAGAAGTGAGATGGCTTTATGAGTTAAGGCTCAAACATAAATTTGGATTTATGACTATCATGCAGTGATGGCCTTCTGCTACCCCGGTAACCATGCCGAGGGGCCATGAAAGCTTCGTATCAAGTTGAAGTTAGCAGGATATAAAGAAGAGCAAAACGCCCTAGTAAGAGGGACTACCGCGAAAATAAGAACGATATTTGTTTAGTATAGTCCTCTCTGAGCCCTCGGCGATGCATAGAGATTAGCAAAAAGAAAACTCCCTGGCGAAAACGGCTTACAAAGAGGCTTGATTATTATGAAGGAATGGAGTATATATGTATAGACTAATTATTTATTGCTGAATTGATGCTTATTCTTAATTCAGCTTTAAGCAGTTGGGGTCAATAATGGCAGTCAGACTAAAGTCTGAACGCGAGGAGTTATACTTTCAGCAAGATGGGACACCTCCACACAACCACTGTGATGTAAGACCCTGCCTTGGTGAGCTCTTGTCAAGTCGGTGCATTGGACTAAGGGGTTTCATAGAATACGCTCCTCCTTCACTAGACCTCACACTATACACTTTTTAATGAGGCTACATGAAAGGCAAAGTCGACGCCACAAAACCGGAAACAATCGCCGAATTAAGAGCAGCCATTGCACAGAAATACACCCAAATACCCGACGAAAAGTTTTCTGATGCCCAGGGTGAGTGGGAAGGGCATAGCACACCTGACTCAAGCATTGTCTGAATCATCGCATTCATCACCTCCGTTTGGAAATGTGGCAGAATACGCCGTGGAGGTTGCCACACGGGTTTTGATCACGAAATGTCTTTTAATAAGCATTGATCATATAATTATTAAAAGTGTGATGTACACAGACGGAAAATACAGGTGTTTGGTGCGCTCCGGTATTAGCCGTCCTCTTCAACGGGCATTGAGGGATCCACGTGGGGACATTTATCCCTCCGGAGCCTTTTAAAGGGACTTCGAATCTAAAGATCTGTGTGTATGAAGGAGGCCAGTACGGCCGAACAGGTTAGAAACCCAGTTAAGGGCGGAGGCCACTGCAACCCCCCTTGCACTCCCGATATGTTGGCTTTTCCAGTCTCAATTGTCTTTGTCAGTCAGACCAGGTACCTACATTTCTGAGTAAAGGGAAGTGCTCACCGGATTGACGGAATTGTTTGGATGACGTTTCGAAGAGCTTGAGCGGCTGTCCATTATCAAGGCGTTTAGTACCAAAATCGATCAAAACTTTGAATAGACAGCCACCCAAGGCCTTCGAGACGTCAACCAAACAATTCCCTCGATCCGGTGAGCATCTCCCTTTCCTCAAATTATCGACCCAGGTCTCTTACGTTTGCCAACCACACCACAAATGAATCCGGCCAGAAGGGTCAACTTCGATCACTCACGATAACGACCAAAAGAGTCTGAACCCGTGCTTGAACTGACAGAGGGGTAGACTCCGTGGTAACGGTAGGGTGTAACACCCCACGTAGATGGCAACTCCAACATGTACGCTAGAATTCACTTATTATTTACCGTCCCCTTTGGTTGAAAGTTTATTGGCTTCTCGGCTGAATGTAAACTCACCCAGCGGCGGTTTGATCGAATCCCTTATTTTTCGAAAATTGGCTTTTGCCTACTTTTTCGAATTATTGCACTGAATTTCGTGGCCATTTGGCGGTGTATGATAAGAAGTTCGACAGAAATGTGTTTGTTTTCAGTGTTTTCTTGCATTCAGCCTGTTCTCCGTCCTGCGTGTTATCCCACCCGTAAAACCCCCTCTATAACTATTCATGTATGACACAGTCTACGGGCTACCTCAAGTTATTTGGGGTCCTACACCCTGTCGTTACCGGCTCCGTGGCCAAATTGACCTGGCTTCGAATATTTAGCCATCCTGGTCCGGCTACAGCACAGAAGCCTGATGCGGGTATTCCAGTCTTTCTAGTTGTTGTCGACACTACTTGAGTTTAGAAAATGGGACGCTTGGCGCAGATCGGGAGCGACGACTCCCACCCGCAACTCCCCCCCCCCCCC